AAGAGGAAGCACTTCACCTTTCGTCAGTGCAGTGCAATTTTTTTTTTTTTTAATTAGATGGTTAAAAAGTTAATAAAGTTAATTTGTAATGATGATGAACGTTATGGAGTTCACGGCGATGGCAGGGCTCGAAACCCTTTCGCTTCATCCAAACCCTAAAGATTGAGAACAAACCATTTAGCCTCAAGCCCGGTTGGTGTCAGTGCGGTGCAATTATTAAAGTTTTCTGACTTATTTGTATATTATAAAGTGTTATACTGGAATCTATTATCATCGTTATAGTTTTTTATTTTTTATTATTTTAAATATATATAAAATATTAATTAAAAATAATAAAAATATATAAAAAAATTAATTAAAATATTAAATCAACACTGTAATTTTGAAAACAATGTGTACTTAAGTCAATACAATGACGACCGCAACATTTGACAAAAACACTGGCACTTATCGGTTAACGGCCAATAATCATCCATAGAAGAAGATTGCCACCATCGATCGATGGTCTTCTGGGGACGCGAGGTTATCTGGAAGTCGAGAGTCAAGTTACTATCATAACATTTACATTTTATTTTTTTAAATGACAAGCAATTCGTAAAATGTTTGTGAGTAGTTGTGTGATCACAAAGGCAAAACCATAAGTTAAGTCCCTAAATTAATCTCAAAATTATTATTAAACTCCTAAACTTTAATTGATGTATATAAGCCCTTAAACTATGTGACCAAAGCAATTAAACCATTCTTCTTACGCTAACTTAGCTAACTTAACTGCCGTTTAGGACTCACTCGCCTGGCTTAACTATCGTTTAGGACACGCTCGCTTGGCTGCTTGGATGGCAAAAATATTGCTGTGTCATGCTTATATGGCAAGAGAATTGATATTTTAGTGGGATTTTTGACTTATCTGATTATTCAAATTTTTAACTTAAATAAAATCTAAATAAGATAAAGTCATACATTTGGGTAAAAATATTATTTAAATAAAGTCTTAAATTTAAATTTAATAAATATAGTAATAAACATTAAAATTTTTTTATGTAATTTATTGTGAT